TTTGTTTGTTGATTTATTTTTTTATAATTTACTTTTTCTTTGAAACATGAGGAATAAATTACTTTGCTAATTAATAGAATATTAGATACATTTAGAAGACCTTGGATAAGGCTCTAGGTTGGAATAGTCAATTATCACCTTTAAAAAGATTATGTAATTGTCTCGGATATACATAGGTACTCTAATAAATACCTATATGATTAGGTAGAAATAGATAAAAGTAGGTTAATTTCATATTATCTTTTAGAAAAGCTTCCTAGAAGCTTTATAGATGTTGCTTTGACTTTATATATATATATATATATATATATATATTTGCAGTTGATTGATAGGTTAGAAACTTGGTTAACAAATTAACTATGTGGCGCATATAGAGAAAACTTGCCTTGCAAGTTAAGATATGTATCATGCAAAGTCAACACGTTTTCGAGGTCTTATAAGACATTGTTAAGTAGCTCTTAGTTAAGAGTATATATGGATGCAAGAGTGAAGCCTTCTTCACTCTTGTCAATGCCTTTCTAGTCCTTAATCTTATTTATAAATTTTTAAGTCCTTTTTTTTGGCAACAACCATTCTAATTCAATAATATATCAAATTTGAGTGACTTTCTAGTACTTTTGAGTATCACAAGAGTGTATTGAGGATTTCTTTCTTTAAGATTCATGTCTTTCACAGTAATTCTTCTGTGATAAAATTACACTAAATATGTTAGTTTTTTTTTCTCTTTGATTTAAATCTTTATGATTTTTTTTTTGTGTATTTTAGATCATTGAGAGATGTTTTTTATATAAGAACAAGCATCTTATATGAATTAGTTTTTTTTAATAATAGATAGGTCTAAATCATATTAATTATTCTGTTTCTTATATAGTACAAGTTTCTTGCTTAAAAATCTTGCCATTTCATTTTTCTTAAATAGTCCAAAAATATACTTCAACAATAAGAGGCAATAGTATTTTTTTTAATGATAATTATATTAATGACATTACTAACTTTCTTCTTTCAAGTATTTAAAAAAATATATTTGTACAAAATAATATAAATTCAAGACAATTTTTTTTTGGCCTCATTTTTATTCTATAAGTTTTAATAGTCTATGCTAGAATGTGAAAATAGTGTCTTTTGTTATTTTTTAAAATTTAGATTTGTAAAGATTGTCTTATGTCTTTGAGTTGTTTCTTATTCTTTTTTACATTATGTTTGATTCAATTGCATTAGTGATCTTACAAATAACTATTGGAATTAAAATCTAATCTATATAAGAGATCAAAAAAGATTAGATGGTGATAGATAATTGATTATAATCTTTGTTGTACTGCCATCCTAATATATAGTATAAAACAAGAAAAGAAAAATGCAAAATATTTATTATCAATAAATATATATATATATATATATATATATGTATGGGTCTTTTTGAAGTGTGGATATTACTTTGCAGATGTAAAGATGCTTTTAGCCTTGGAGTTTTGAATTAAAAAAGACTCACAATCTTTACCACTACACTTGCTTTTAACAAAAAATAAATAAAAAAAATAAAAAAAAATTAATTTGAATTGTTGTGATTTCATAAACTAATCCAATAATGTTTTCTGAACCGCTACAAAATGTTATTATTTTTTAATATAGAAACACTAATTTATCTGCTTAAAATATACAGGACATTATTATTCAGCTTATTATACATATATAAATTAGAGCATATAATTCAAATCATATTTTTCTAATTTTTTTTACATTTATACGGTTTATAAAGAATAGTTTCTACCACCAATACATGGATCAAATTACTTCCTACAAATGTCAATTTCGAAATAATAAATAATTTTAAAAGCAGTGTAAACAAATCAATAAAAATTGTAACACAAAAAACATTTAATTTTGAAAATAGATTACACTTCAGATATTTTCAAATTTTATAAATGGCATATTTCATAAATCTAATTTTAAAAAAATTTAAATGGCAAGTTTATAAAATTAGAGAACGATATAACCTTCTTTTTTAAAGATATCTCTTGATTATGAGCAAAACAATTAAACAATTTCGTACAATATATACACACATACCCACCATCTGAACCATGTGGGAAAAAGGCCACAGACTTCCGAACCTTGGCTTGGCACAGCGCAGCGTTGGAATGGAATGAGCCCAAACGGAGAGTTTTAGGGTTTGGTCCCATTACGGTGGAGGCGATGAGTGAAGCAAGAAGCAGCCACGTCGAGGCAAATGCAACTTTTGTGTGTACAGGAAAAGAGCAAAGTTGATTGATAAAAAGAGGAGGAGTCGACAGGAACTGAAAGGGGATCCCATAATCCCTGCCGTCCAGAGGACACGAGCAATCACGTCACACACATGGATATGTGGCTTTGTTGTTGGGTGTTCGAGCTCCGTTTCGCTTGTTACTTTTGAGGAGGAACTTGTAGGAGTTGACGTCACTCCATACATGTGGATTCTGTTTTCTGGACAATGTCGATACTTTTTATATTATTTTTATAATACGTACATATAAAAATAATATAATGTAAATTTTATATTATTTTTATATACATATAAAATGTTTTTGGGTTCGTTCCAAGGTGATCCGCTTCACCATGAAGAACAGTAGAAGTTCCATGCTTGGGCAGCTGAGACTGTTCGTTTACCAAGCTGAATGAAGCCGCGTCTGAAATCGGGTGAGAGTGATTTGCAGTGGATCCTCGGAATCTACGCTAGCTCAAAACAGTGGATTTCCTTCTTGTGACTTCATTTTGTTATAGAATTGCGTAGATTTTTTTTTCCTTCTCTACATTCTTGTGCTTTATCAACTTGGAAAAAATCAATGTCGATTGTATTTTTTTAATAAAAATAATTGACAATATTACAGTGAAGGTAAAAACTTGTGTATTATATATGTGTTAAAGTTGCTTGTAAACTACATTCCCTATTATTGTATGATATCCGAACTAGTTCCATTAAAATATGGTGTTTTTGTGGTGTGAAATATTTGTTGAAGAAAGTTGCTATCAATGGTTACAGAACAACTTAGGACTTGGGATTGTCTCTACAATCTTGTTTGACAAGCTCTAATGTCTCGATTACAAGAACCTAGACAGAACACATAAATCACTGAACTATATATATATAGTTATAGTTATAGTGATGCTTATTATTATTTTAGGGAATGAAAATTAAACTAAGCACATGCCAAGGACAACAAAAAGGATTTATAGATGAAATAAAGGTAAATTCAAAGACTTGTTGAATTAAATTAGTAGCAACAACAAAGTGGAAGGAAAATATAGCTTTACAATGATATATGTATAAACGATTTGGTGCCATTGTAACTTGCAACTTCACAACTTACATCATTAATTTTTGGCCTTAATGTAAGTTTTTTCTTCTTTTATAACTGTAAAGATTTGTAATTCTTTTATTATATTTTTTTAGTATAAATAATTCAATAGTTGTCAAAAAAAAATTCTATGTATTTGGTGATTTTTAAGGAAGTTTTATTTTTATTTTTATTTTTTTTATTTTTTTCTCATGGACAAAATGATAAATAAAATATAAAATTTTGTAAAATCAACAAACATATATATAATATTCATGTCTATTGTTCAAAAAATATTTTAACGTGAGCAATGTTTTTAATACTATGGATGCATTTGTGAAATATTGGTAATTTTTTGAAGCTATAATAAACACACTGAGCTGTTTAATTTTATCTTTTATAAAATATATGTTACAGAATGGTTGTTTGACAGTACCATCTTAGTTATCTGATAGAAGCAACCACATAAAGGAAATATCATTATTACAAGAGTGATTAGAGAAATAAAATATGCATAATGATATTCAGACCTGTAGCTATTTACTTTAAAGATGAATGTAATGTATATTGGGACATGTTTTGTGCATGAAAATATAAAGATCAACATTCAATATGGAACAAGTGTATATGTTTGAGGATATATATATCAACCAATCACACATTAATTGAGATTAGCATTAAAAAATGAATAAAACTATTTACATACACTTATTTTAAATACAGCTTTTTTCGTTGTTATTAAATAAATAAAACATACAACCATGCTACAAAGAAAAGAAAAGAAAATGAAGTTTCTAAAAACATATTCTAATTTTAAAATATTCATTTAAAAAAATTACATCAAGCACAAAAAGACTTAGAAAACAAAGTATTCTTGAAGAGTGTCATGCATCATTACTGTAGAGGTGACACTGAAACACATCTATAGTAATTAGGGAGTGAATTTTCAATTAAAGGATCGACTATTTACCTCAGCAAAAGAGAGATAAGGTAAACAACCCATATTCAATAATTTAAGCATTTCAACATATTGGCAACAAGAGTAAAAATAGAAGAAAAATATCTCCATACAGGAAAATAGAAATGTAGAGGATTTCAAGTGTTTTTACACGATTTGGCCCCAAAATGGAATTTATGTAAATGTTTTAGCCAAAATTTTTCTTCAAGACATTTCTAACATATAAGTCAACCTAATTCCAATCATAGGCCAACCTAATTCTGATCAATGGTGGGTTTCAAAACTCAGAATCTGATTATTACAAAACAAAGAAGTGTGGCACCTAATTATACTATTATTCCACTCCAACCAATCAACAAGTGCCACCTTTTGATAATTCATGCACATTTATTCTAAATACAATGCATTTTGTTTATTGTTCATTGCTTAACATCATTTTAACCAACCTACTATCTATTTCGGATCAATGTGGATGTCAGACCTTGTTGATAGACTAATGGACCCTATATGTTGGAAACGGGGGAGTGGTTGACAATGAGTCGGCTACCTTCTGCCACCACCTTTTTGTTCCAACATGGAATCAGAAGAATGTAATATATTTCTTATCCTGAATTTGCGAATTTTCGGAACAGCTAACGGAAAATAGAATCAAAAGTGAGGGTGACACTAGTGCCACTAGAAAAGCTCCCAGTTTGCTAAACAGGGGATTGTGGATTAATGAAGCCGAAGTTCACAAACTTAGGATTAAAGGCTGAGGTTTTGATAAGTGTGTTGCTGATAAGTAAAGGGGCTTTGGAATCTGAGTGTCAGAAATAGCGCTGGGCTGTGGCTCAATCAGTCTGCCAAACGTGTTTTTGGCTCCGCCTCAGTGAATGCATTCGGTGTTTCAGGTTTTGCTTCAATGTTCTCTGTACGTCTGGCCTCGTTGGTGTGAGCCCGTGCATTTGGAATGAAGAAAGCGAGTCTTCAAGACTCTGCTTAGTGTAGCTCCAGCACTGCAAGAATTTGAGCCCATTTGTGACAGTCTCCTCGAAGCTTTTGTAGTTTTACAGTTCGGGATTTGTACGCTTTGCAGTTTTCCTCACTCTGTTATGTTATCTTCGGCGTCTTCGTCGTGAAGGTTGTTTTGGAGTTTGGGTGGAGTGTTGTTGTTGTTGTTGTTTTCGTCAGAAACAATCGACAGATGCAACACGCAGGAGCCCAACTCAGTGCAGAGTGGTAGGACGAAGCAGGGTTAGATAAGATGGGTTGGTCGCGAAGCGAAGGGGATGCAGACAGGGAATTGAGGCAGCCCTTAACGGAAGAGACACAAGTCAAGGATGATTACAACTTGGCGTACATTACCTTCTTCTTGCTGGGCGTCGGTTTTCTTCTGCCATGGAACACGTTCATCAGCGCTGTGGACTATTTCGAAGTCTTTTACCCCAGTTCTCACATGGACCGCGTATTTTCTCTCGTTTACATGATTCCTTGCTTCATCTTCCTGCTGATTCTCACATTTTATTGCCAGAAGTTTTCGGCACGGCTTCGAATCAACTTGGGCCTGATTACCTTCCTATTCATTTTCGTGTTTGTCCCTGCTATGGATGAGTGGTGGATTACCGGCAACAGAGGCACGAAGGTCACGTATGCCTTGACAGTCGGTGCTGTCGCTGTACTTGGTCTTAGTGATGCTCTAGTGCAAGGAAGTCTCATTGGATTAGCGGGTGAGCTTCCAGGGCGTTACATGCAAGCTGTGATTGCAGGAACTGCTGCATCAGGTACGATTCTTCTTGCTTCAGACATTACTTTTGTTAATTTTGTTTCGTGCAATTGTTCTTTTAGCATGAAAATGATGCAGCTGAGATTGTGCTTCCTAATAGCGCGAAGGCAATGTTTGAAAATATGCTGTCCTTTGTAATTGAATTTCCCATTTGAAACTATTTGAATGTATACTTGAGTAATTTCGAGAGATAAGCAGCGTTTTAATCTTACTTATAGAACAGAGATTCCCACTATTAAGTTTGATGTGAGCGAATTTGGCTGTGAAACCCAAATAGTTCGCCCAATAGCACTTCTTATTACAGAGCTGCATATTGTGGCTTTGGCAAGTAGTTATGATCTGTAAGCCAGCTCGTTATCCTCGTGCAAAGTGATTTAATTTTTTTTTTATTGTAAGCTTCGACTTTGCTTGTTGGTTCTGTTGGGCTGTTTGATGATTAGCTGTTTCAATAGTATGCACATGTATTTTGATTTTATAGTCTAACATACGTCCAAACGATGGCTTTCAATGTGTTGTTATTTGTTGCAGGTGTACTTGCATCCATACTACGCGTGATAACGAAGGCCACACTACCTCAGACAGTGAGAGGATTGAAGTTGAGTGCGGATTTATACTTCATCGTGACAGCTCTCCTTCTGCTGATCTGTCTCCTTTCCTTCAACATGGTTAATAAGCTACCTGTCATGCTGTATCACTATAGAATGAAGCTTAGAGCATTGGAATCTACCCTATCAACAAGTGAACCTCAGGATGTTAGTGAATTGGGTTTGAAAACGGATACAACCGAAATTTCTCCCACCACCACTACGGACTCAGAGCTGGACAAAGTTACTAAACCTGTGAGCTTTGTGCACGTGTGGAGCCAAATCAAGTGGTTAGCAACATCAGTGGCTGTGGTGTATGTAGTTACCATGTCCATCTTTCCTGGATACATCACCGAAGACGTGCATTCAGCTTTCTTAGGGGATTGGTACCCTGTGTTGCTCATAGTAGCTTACAACATATCTGACTTGGCCGGGAAAACCCTCACCAGCGTCTGTATGGTGGAGAATCAAAACCTTATGATCTGGGGTTGCTTTGGCAGGCTGGTTTTTTTCCCTTTGTTCTACACAGTTCTGCACGGTCCTGCAATTTTTCGCGAAGAAGCTATTGTGTTTCTTTTGACAGCCATGCTGGGGCTTTCGAATGGCTACATGACGAGCCTTGTGATGATCGTGGCGCCTAAGAATGTCCCCGTTTTAGAGTCAGAGACTGCAGGTATTATTATGACCCTTTTCTTGGTCAGTGGCCTAACCATAGGCTCACTTCTCGGGTGGGTCTGGATAATCTGACGAATTCTTTGTAGATGTTACAAAATTATTTTCCAAGTAGACGTAATTATACTTTCTGATTTATATTTGATTCTTTTGCATTCGCAACCTACAAGTGCTTGCATTTTTTTTCTCTCGCATTGACAGAGAGGTTACTGTATACTTCCTAGTTCTATGTAACTGACAAGACATCTTCCTATCATTGAAGTGAACACAGTCTTTGTACTTTTTATATACGTTTTCTAAGGACACCCCTGCCAGTCGTTCTCTTTATTGTTGTTGACAGACTGGACTTCTATGTTCTTCTCTTGGAAGTTCCATTCATGTTTCATACTTTCCTCACTTGAGGTTTTGTGCATTCTGTGACTTTTGTTTGGATGTGAATCTCTGTAAAGATATCTCAGTCAGTTGTTAAATGAAGTGAATGGATTCTCATGTATAGTTGTCCTATAGATAGTTGATTAGCAGCACGTTGAATGTAATCACCCAACATTGACTAATTACTGAGAGCAAAGAGAAATATTCTCAAACCCCTAATGTACTTATTTACCTATGTTACATGTATTTGTGAAAAAATCTTATATTCATAACTAGAAGGGTATTGGCTATGAATAATTTAGGCAAAAGAGTTGCAAGCAATGGAGTAGAAAATAATACTTGCATCTTTATTGTTTGTATGGAATTCACAAATAATATTATTGGGTACTAAACAATCAAAGAATTTTCAATGTTATACATCTCTTTTCTAGGAAAAGGTATAAAATCAAGAAGACAAAGAGGTTAGGATCAATCTATCTCTAGATTGAAACTTAAAGGGATGATTAGTAATTGATTGATTTATGTTTGTATTTGATTATAAGTTTTTGGCAAATTTGATTTTGTTGTGGTGCGTCTACCAATGCATGCATGTGCCTACCTTCATAATTTGAGAATCCAAAGTCCAAGGGATGAAAAACTTACAATATTTAAAAAAAAGACAAGTGAAAGAGGTCAAGAGGTGAACAAAAGAGGATAATAGAGAAGAAAGAAAAAGAGCCACTAAAATCAAATTATAAACGAATTCAATTTTTGTATACCACAACCAAGATATGAACTACAAACCTTGCTTAAATAGAAGATTGCTTCAACAACATGCACCAACTTTTCTAATTAATGTTAGATTAGGAAAAATTTGTAACAACTAATTTTAAAATAATATCATTGTGTTTGATACCTATTCATTGACCTATAGTAGCAAGATGACAATGGGCTAGTCAAAACCTTCCATAAATGTCCATGGATAACATCTTGAAATGCAACATTCATTCATATCTACTAACCTAGGGATGATTTTGTCTAATCTATGATAAGTTCAATCTTAAAATAATAACTATAACATTAAAAGGCATTTATGTAAAGGGCAAGACTTAATGATTGTATTCTTGGAACTCTAACACTTATGAAAAATAATTATTTCGAAGTATAAAAAAACTATAAGTTGGCATAATATAAAGTGATTAAGAGGTAATACAATATTTGAGAATTTTAAATATTTTAAAGAATACACCTGATTTAAAAAAAAAAAAAAAAATCAATAAAATATGGAAAAAAATTCAACAAAATATGGAGATTGTTAAATCAACCCAAGAATTTATTAAATTTACCTACCCATCATCATTGGTTGCAAATCCAACCATTTTTTTCATTGATTTTCAACCAATGTAGATTTAGTAGTGGAGATTTTTTTTTTTATGATGATTAGGATGGGTGGATTGATTTAGTAAATACATTGGTTATTTTAACAATTCTCCTAAAATATTCATTCATATCTATTTAAGATGTAGATTAATCTAAAAATGACATTTTAAAAATTCAAATTATGTAATAAAAATCCAATAAATATGAAATATTTTAGATTCCTTCAAAATTTAGTGGATGTTCTTTTAAGAAAAAACAGTGATATTCTAAAACTTAAAGAGTATTAAAGAATATTACTATTTAGAATATTCAGAAAACAGTAATATTACCAAAATTGCAATGTAGCATCTTTTAAAAAAACAATTATTATAGAATAATTTACTTAAGGCATACTACTAGGATTTTAAGTAAATTCTATTACATATTTGCAAATATACCAATCCAAGTAGGTCTTGTAAATTTTAATAGATTTGAATCTTATTGAGGCCAAAATAAATATCTTACCAAGGATGGTTAGGTGTATTATCAAATGCTGCTATTATAGGGTTTTAGATAAATATAAATGGTTTGTTCTAACAGCTTAATAAGACATATAAGATTCTAAGTAATAAATACATAAGAATATTTTTAATTAATATTTTTATATTTAATTACATATACACACCAAAATGAACACAAAGTGAATCTAATTAATTTCAGAATACATTTTTCAATTAATACTACAGATAAATATAATAATCTCATTATTTAAAATTTTCAAATTAAAATACTTTATTTATTCTTTGATTTATCTACCTATCTATCTATCTAAATATTATTCAAGAGCTAAAATTTATCTTGGTTGTATAATGTTTTTATTTAGCTCAAATTTTAAGTATTTGAATGACTAAGATCATTGTTAAATTGGAATTTTATTATAATTAATTAGCATAACAAAGAACTTGTATAATAATTATTTCATTTAGAATGTAAATGTTATATAATTTATATTAATAACAAAATATTGTAGATTTTAGAATTTAAGGATTATATCAATTAAAATTGCTAATATAGAATAAATATTTTCCAAACATCCATTGGTTGTGTTATTGTTCTATCGAAATTTGAAAACATTGAATGAGATGATTTATTTTTACATTAAAAATCTTATCAAGGGTGTTTTTAAACTAAGAATACATAATAAAAAAAGAACAAAATTTTAAGTTTCTATGTTTATATTTTTTACCTAAATTAGAATTTATAATTACTGCATGTAGTGCATTCTGTTGTCGAATTAAATTAAACTGTTCATAAGTTTAAAAAATTAAATAAAATAGAATAAATCTTACAAGATGATTTTAAGTTTCGAAATAATATTTTGTGAGAAACCAAAACAATCTAATGAAGGTTTTTCTCATTAACAGAATAGGATATACATGTAAAAATGTTTTTAAGGTGTATGTTAGTTTTGACTTATGATTAGTTTTGGCCTATCATTGAAAATAAATTACAAAAAAAAAATTATTCAAATTTCTTTTGCATAATATGCCACAACAAGAATTGGCTTCATGAATTCGGACAACTTTTTTACCTTTAAAGGCAGGGAGCCCATTTTGAATAGGGGGTCCCATTCCCCCACTTCGGTGTGCAGGTCGGTCTTGTAAACTCCGCCCTTTCGTGTTTTTCTTCTTTCTCCTCCTCCTCGCAAATCGTGTTCTTCCATTACTTTGTGTGCAGATTATGTTTGTTTTGCGGGCATTCTTGTCTGCACCCAGTTTGCTATATCACCACGCATCGTCAGAGTCTGTGGAGCCTCATGGGGAGCGGTTCAGCTCACGCCGAAGCCCGTGTGCTCATCAGTCAATGTGAGGGCAATGCCATCGTTGATCAGTGTTTTGGTGTAATATGCTCTGAGTCACTCCATTCCCCGATGTTGCCATAGGATTTGTGGGATTATTATTATTGTTTTCTCTCTGACCTAATTCACTCTGCAATGCCGGTGTGATTTTGTTCCTCTGGTGCATGAGATTGTCCTGTGGGTGATAGTTGGCTGTATCTGTTGCTTCGCAGGTGATTACAAGGGAGGTGCTGTGGGTGACGGTGGATTTGAAAAGCATTTTTTGCATCTTCGTAACCCAGTTACAGGTACGAGTGATTTGAGCAATTTCGAGTTCCATTCATCTGCTTTCATGCGGTGTTTCCTTGTGAGCAAACTTCTCCATCGATTACGGCGGGGAGGGAAGATGGTAGTGCCTGTTTAGTATACCCTAAATTGAAAGGCCTCTGTGCGCCAATGCATTCGGCGATCCTTTGTCTTCACAATTACTCCTCGTTGTCCTACGGTCCTATTTTTTTTCTAGTTGCTCCATGATTGTTCATACTTTTGGTTTTTTATTTTCTATGATAGGATCTACTCTTATGTATTGTAATAATGGAGCTGATCCTGCTTTCTACTTTGCATGGATGATGAAGGCTCGAAAGCGTGTTATTTGGTGGCAACTGATGGAAAGCTACAAGAGCTTCATTGGTCCAAACAGACGCACACTTCTTGGTTCATTGACAACTTCGCTTGCGCAGGTGATATATGATTTTTTTTTTGTTCATATTCCTCTTGTGAGTGTAATGCACGGAGGATTTCTCGGGTGGATCAGTATCATCATGTGAAGTAGGACTTGGCTTGTCCTCGATGATAAGCACATTAGCGAGGTTTGAAAGCTATGATATAATCTCGTCTTATACACATTTACATATATGAGGTGGTCTGTAATTCACTGTACAGAAATTTAGGAATGCTAATGCTGGGGATGGTACTCTAGATTCTAATGCTTCGCTTATTTTGTGGCCTTTTGTATTCAGATGGCAGTTTATACTTAGCAACACCAATAGATCCTTTATTCATTATTCTCCCCATTCTAGAGCAATTGCGCATGAAGGCAAGACTCATTACACCTTTTTTCTTAACGATGTTGTGGCTCAGAAAATTGTTTGTGAAAAGTAGGGTTTAAGGAGAAAGATTTAATTAAGTTGAATGAGTATGATGTTTCTTACAAAGTTGGTACGCTGGTTATGGCAGAAAGGAGATGACTTGGGGAAGTTCAGATCGCTCGATGACATACTCTCAGTGGATGGTTACCCAGGCTATAGATATCTACTTCCCTATCTCCAGAGGTCTATTGGGGTCATTTGTGAAACAAGAGGTGGGCATTGTATAGTCTCATCCTAGTTGTAGGATTTCTAGGACATGCTAAGGTATTTACAGACCTAATTTATCTAAAGCAGGAAGGACTGTAGCTAATTGCTAGTACCTTGTTGCAACAACGAATTGGATCACTTCAAGCAGCTCTCGCTGATTCTACCTCCGTAGCTCCAGTTCTTGCTCTGGATTTAATATTTTGATTGCAAGCTGAAGGTTATAAGGTTCGATCCTAATACCTAACAATTTCACTCTCGTATCGCCTACTAGGTTTACCCAGCTTGAAAATCTCTTGAGAACCTCCGAAGTACCCTTTTGAATTAGCTTTTGCTCTGATTTCGCTGCAGACGTTGGGCAGGTCAAGTACTACAGGCTGGACGACTCCAAAACTGTAGCTTGGCTGATTTGCAAGGTACTAGCCTTACTACTCAAGTAGATGCATTTGGATAGGCGTTGTGTAGCATGTGGACAGCAATTGTTTGAATCTTAGTGCCTCATTTGACAAGTATTCAGAACACTGCGATGTTTGTTCGTTCAACACATCCATCTCTGTAACTGTATCTTTTGCAACATAGCGGCTTGCTGTCACCTCTTTGAGATTTTTACTGGCAGCACAAGAAAACAAATTAGGCAATCAAATATGTGACTTATCACAGACTTTGGGCAGGTGAACAGATTATCCGGAGCCTTACGGGCATCATCACGTAATTTTCAAGGAATGGTTTCAAATGATCTATGTAAGTGTATCAGTTTTAGTGTTTTTTGAAGAACGTTGTCTCGAAATTATGTCCCGTGAATTGTTAGAGAATCACTCGTATACATGGCGCCTGTCCAAAAGTTGCTGCCAGGACTTCCCGATGATGATTCAGATGATTGGAAGATTGATTTAAAATCATGGGTGTGCAGATACTTATGTGACCAAAATGCTAGAAGAATATGTTAAGATGGATCCCTGGGTGCCAGCAATCTGTAAATACTTGGGGTACGTGGTAGTCTATTATTTTCTGTCAGAGCGCAATAAAAGCCTCCAGCGTTGTCTTTTGTGAATTCAATGATCTATTGGTTCTGCCGCCACAAATTTGTTTCAATAACTACAAGGAATCGCACTTTGATGCAGAGTGGATATGGATACTTCGAAGACAGCACATGTACCTTTCGTACCCACCATGTCTGCCCCTCAAAAACCACAGGAAAACAAGGTACTTATGTTCATACAGCTAATGTACATATGTTGACGCTGATTTGATAATTATTTTGACGTCGGAAGTATTCCCACCTGAAACCTATAACTGAACCTGTTCAATTTAACCAGCATTATCGTCTCTGGTGGATGTTCATTTTTCAGAGGAGCAAACAAAGTGGCCCAGCTACGAAGCAGATAGCGTCGTCCAAGAACAGTAAAGAACCAGGATCTCGATTAATCACTAGTTTCTTTGTGAAACCCCGCTAAAATTGATGATTGATGGAGATGGAGATGGATTGAGTACCATCTTCTTCATGGCCATTAACCATGTGCCTGTGTAATTTATCTTCATCTGGCTTCTCGAAGTGGCCTAGCCAACATGAAAAGATCTTTGTACAAAAAACTAGCCTGTGCTTTGACTGCAGTCCAATAACTGATGCCGAGATCGTTTAACAAATCTGCGAGCAGGATCATCAGCATATCGCCAACGCAAATCTCTCAGTGGGTGGCAGCTTTGTGTATGTAACCGAGTGTTCGTCACATGCTCTCCTGCAATTTAATCCAAGTGAATCCTAGATTTCTTAGCATGGTCGATAGATCTTTAGGATGGTCAACCTTTTGCTTTGTTACAAAGTCAAGGTTGACCCAAACTAAGCTACATCTAGTTATTTGTTACATTCCCAGCTATTAAATCAACTACCTATGTTCGCTTTATGAAAGTGATCTTCTGGACTGCACTTAGTAAGCTGTCTGGTTAAGTTTCTTTTGAATGTCGAAAGTGAGAAATAGTACATCTGTCATTCCCACGATGTAATATTTTACAGTATCATTCTCTGAAAGAATTCAAATCAACCTTTGGAAAATGGAAACATTCACGTGCTTGTTGGACTTGGCATAGATGCCTCGAGGGCATGGTTGTGTGATGTTCCCCGGACCAAGTCTTGTGCTCTGAAAGGGTTACATTCAGCTACAGCGACCTTGATAATGTCGTTGATCTCACTAGCCTTGAGTTCTCTTTCGAATTGTTGGTTAGGCTGATAGAACCTTGGCACGGCAATGGATATGTGAGCTATTAAAAACCAAACTTGCTCGAATGGTAAAGTCGGATACTGGGTCATATTGTCAGGAATAGTGTCATGCTCTACGTCCGAATCATATGAGGGAACCTATCTTTGGTCGATACGGATTCATTTAGATGCTGAATTGAGTCTCAAAAACGAAATTAGGAACTAGTTTTCGGGAGAGATATTTTACGGGTCTCGCATTCATCCACGTACAAGCATGGAAGTGCCACGTACTAGGTACAGAAAATATGAAAACTTGATCTGGTTGTAGGTGCTAACTTCCTAGAATGGGAAGATTTTAATTTTACATAGCAACATACAATTTATAATTAAGCATTTTGATAAAATTTTGGCTGAACCACTTATTCTCCTCCTACTCGATATCCTTGTTCCATATACCTCTGTTCTAACGTCACACCAAGGTCCAATCATCTCTCAGCCAGAAGTTCTTTTGAACTGGTTTTTCAAACGCAGACCAAAATTAAGAAAGAATATATCTTAATTTAAAAACATAAGAAGATGGAGCTTCTGTAGACCATGCTGACGACTTTGTCCAACACAAACAATTTCCATGGAAAGTAACCAAAAGAGCACCCAAGTTTTCTATTCACCGCAAAAATCCACTTCGAGATCCTGGCCACAGACCTGCGCGGCAACATTCAAACTAATGCCACGCCGAAATTATAAACCTAAACCAAAAGGAATTCGCATTCAAGGCAGTCATACAAGTGACCAAAAAACCTGGTATAATTGAAGGGTTGCGGGTGAACGGTGGCACCCGACCTGGGAAATAACTCACGAATCCTACACTTTTGCGGATAACACTGTTCAAGATTCAAAAGGGCAACGATCTTGTGTGAAACATGATTGGAAATGTTAACATTTTGCAGAAATCTTGGTAGATTGCGTTTGATAGAATCGATAGGTGTTCAGACAACAGCGAGGATTCTCCCCCTCCTCTGCCTCCTCTCGACACTGCCAAGTTTGTCCGTCCTGCTCTTTTCTCAGTCGGCTTCGTAGTTAGTAAGCTCTCTGGAGCTTTGTGTGCATCACTTCAGGCCTTTATTCTGCATACTTAGATCTGTCCAAGTAGTTCTGTGAGCTCACACACAAGCAGACTGCACTTGCCCACTTCTTCTAGGCTTTGTGAGCCTCAGAAGTGATTACAGACAGTTTTGAGCAGGGTGAGTACCTTGTGGGTTTCTATTTGTTCAGGAGGTATTTCATGATCATGGTGTAGCTGGGTAGTAGTGGGTTTTGTGTTTGTAAAGGCTTGTTGTTAATGTGGTGCGTAGCTTGGTTTCGAGCTTGCGGATATGGAGGTTTTGTTAGTTGGCTTTGGGGTGAATGAGTGTGAGTTTGAAAATTAGCGGCATTGGGAGGGCGTTAAGGTGCGGATGGGGTGAGGTTTGGGTTTGGTGGAACTTAGGGTTGGGTTTTTCTTGTGTGGGGATGGCTTTAGGTGGTGGAGGCTTCGACTCTGTAGGAGGAGTCCAGGAGGAGGGTGAGTGCGAGCAACGGGATGAGGCGGGCGAGGGGGAAGTTCAAGGGGGGCAATTCAGCCCTTCGCGTGAACGTCCCCAAGGAGAACGCCATTTCTGATTACGTGTAAGCGTGGATTCTTCCTCAATGTCCTCATATCATGCCACGCACCGATTTCATGTCTTTGAGCTCATCCTGGGATTCCTGGAGCAGCTTCGTATTTTTTCGCCTCTTCTGAAATTTAGCTAGGGCGTTATTTTGTTGCTATCTCATCACTGATTAGGGACTAATCGTACACTGGGTTCGGTAACCACAATTGTGCTCAATATGTGACCAAATTTATCGATGATGCTAAAATATGCAGTTCTATTCTCCATTTGTAGTGTGGGGCTGAGTCCTGAACGTGTGAGCCTGTGCTTTTTCTGGTGTTTCTAGAACTGCGAGTGGTACGTTTCAAGATGGCGATATCATGCTCAATAAGGAAGGAATCCGGGTTGTGTCCCAGACTCAGACATCTACTGTAAGTAAAACACGTCTCCTGCACATAGTGTGGCTCATTTGCTGGTTTCTTTCAGTTTCTGTTATGTTTTAATGTGATCACGTTAATGCTGAACACCCATTTAAATTAAATATTCGTTTTGAACCGGATATTCCGTCTCTGATTGAAGTTTCAACCAACGCTTGCCCTGAAATAGTAGGGCAGTGATTGGATTCTCGAAGTTAGGGTAAATAGGAGTAGTTGGTGCTTATGGGTGTAGGTAATCTTCTATCATCTTTGGCTATTTCAAAGACACTATCTACAATTGGCCCTCTTCAGTTAATGGCCTTGTACAGCTTGGGCTGAATTTTCCGAAAATAAAAGAACGGGATGGTTAAGTGCAGTTATGGCTGCAATTCTTGTGTTTTTTCTCTTGTTGAAGTACAGAGCTTTGGATGGGTTTTTCTGAAGGGACTCACTGAAGAATGTGGACTTTCTCTGTGGTATAATTGGAGTTTACCATTGTCACGTAATAGCGATAACCACAGGGATATGACGACATTAGGAATGATGAAACTACATGTTTAGAATGGATTCTTGCTCAACGGCAACAAGTCCTGGCTTGTTTCTAGCAACAAGTTGGAACCGATTGTGAACCCTGTTGTGGGTTTTAGCTGAATCGTATGATATGCAATGTTGGTAAGCCAGAATTGCTTTCAACGTTTCTTAATCGTGACGCTATTTTTTCACTGCAACTGAGTTCTGGTGTTGGTCTATGTTCAGCCGGCTGCGAATGGAAACATCTCTCTTTCAGACTTGGAGACTGTGAAAGTGCTGGGCAAAGGAAGCGGTGGTGTCGTACAGCTAGTTAGGCATAAATGGACTAACGAAACATATGCCCTCAAGGTTAACTTCTTTTTGTGACTGAGCTTTTGTCAAACAGTATGTGTGCATTGCAAACATTTAATGAGAGATAATTATGATCCAAAGGCGCCAACCAAACCACGAAGTGCGGTGGACGGGACTGGTATTTCTTGATATTTGATCTTATCCTTCACCTTACCTTCTACACTGAAATTGTGGGGTGCAGGTGATCCATATGAACATCGAAGAAACCACACGGAAGCAGATTGTGCAAGAGCTGAAAATCAACCACGCATCTCAATGTCCCTATGTTGTAATCTGCTACCACGCATTTTACAATAATGGTCTCATATCCATTGTTCTGGAGTACATGGACGGAGGTTCTCTCGCCGACATTATGAAGGAACTGGAGCCCAAGTGTATCAAGGAACCAAATTTGGGTGTTGTATGCAAGCAAGTAAGTGGTCAAACTCAAACATTTATTAGGCTCTACTTTGTACTTTAAGGATTTAGTTGTGATTAATCTAGACGGATTGAAATTAGCCTAAGCGTGATACTTTGTTGAGCAGGTTTTGCTAGGGCTTATGTACCTTCACCAAACTAGGCACATTATTCACAGAGATATCAAGCCCTCAAACCTCCTTGTAAACCACAAAGGCGAGGTTAAGATCTCAGATTTTGGCGTCAGCGCTGTGCTGGCCAATTCAATGGCTGTGAGAGACACTTTCGTGGGTACTTGCACTTACATGTCGGTAAGTAGTCTTAATTTAACCGTATTTCTTCCAGCCTCTTTCTGTCACGTCTTATACATAATCTGCACTATTACAGAAGATAATCAATATCACAAAGTTAGATACTACAGCTTACAAACACTTTGCAGCAATTTTAGAAATGGACCAGGTCCTGACTCTAAGCTTAGTGATCGTCTGTGGCTCTGTAATTCACTTGGAATCTCATCACTCTCACTGAAACACCTAATATTGCAGCCAGAGCGAGTTTTAGGCGGGACCTATGGATTCGACAGCGATATATGGAGCTTAGGGTTGACGCTCTTGGAGTGTGCACTTGGTAAATACCCTTATCAGCCACCAGGAAGCGAGGAAGGGTGGATGAACTTTTATGAACTTCTTCAAACCATTGTTGATCAGCCTCCTCCTGTTGCTCCTGCGGACCAATTCTCTCCAGAATTTTGCTCTTTCATTTCAGCTTGGTAAGCTGGTTGATCCTCGCTCTTCCCCCATGTGGTTTTGTTGACCAGTGAGTAAAGGTTGTTGTTAACCTTTCTATGCCGTGATAACTGATTGCGAAACTTGTATTTCGTGTGCTTTGGCAGCTTGCAGAAGGATCCAAAGTGCCGACCAACTGCAGCAGAATTATTGGTATGTTTAACTCTGACCACACTAAAGTCTCTAAATACCACGGATCACAGTATTCATGAGAGGTCTCACCAGTATTTATTCTTTTTCATTTACAGGCCCTTTTGTTACCAGTTTTGAAGCAGGTCAACCAGCTTACAATCACCTTTGATAGAAATGTTCTGGTTCACTTCTTATACTGCGTAGCTGCATTATTGAGGTAATTTCTTCAGCTGGTTTTTGGGACTAACATGTCTGCCTTGGTGGTGTCGCAGAATCATCCTTTCGTGAATAAGTATGACGAGGAGGAGTATGGATTGGCCAAGTTGCTACCCCCATTAGTGCCTCTTGCCTAGAGTTGCCTAGATTCTATTTGCTATGTATTGATTTATTTATTTATTTTTGGCTAGAGAGCAGTGAAATGAGGAAGTGGGTGAACATGATGCTGCAGACATTGTAATTTTTGTTTCAGCCTTTCTGTTGTAAAGAATCGTGGAAAGTTCAAGTAGGCTCTAAAGGAATAATGGCAATTGTTGGGTGGTGTTAGTGACGATGCCACGAAAGTTTTGAATGAGTCGGCGGTTGTCTGCTTCTTGCAATTCAGGTATTCATGGTGTTCAAATCTACCCACTATCACGAACAATTACTCACTTGTATGACGTAAAAGTCACTGGAGTGTCCAGGATTATGAAGGGCTTGTGTCTTGATATTGAAGGCATCACTGCTGCCAGAAGTCAGCAGGGATTTGTCGGGTACTGTGAACATTTTGGTGAAATCTTCCAGCATTAGATGTCCTCAACGAAGTGACGTGCTATTCTCTAGTTTGTGTGACCAGGTCCGCTTTATAATGCCGTATGTTTTGTAGCGATCTCGGAGTACATCAGAATTAGTTCCGAGATTGAAATGAACGTGCTTTAACGTTACTTCCCAACTTACTTTTAGGACTAACAGGACAGGTGATACTGCTTCCTCGTAAGTTATCAGTCAACAAGTCGAGATGCCATGCAATATCCTCCATCGGCCAGCCCTCTTGGGGGATCGTATGCTGCAGGTGCCATTGATCTGTCGTTCAGGAATACTTTGTAGTACACACAGCTCTGTAATTTGAATCCAGCGTATCACTTTTTTAGTATATTACAATTATAAAGTATGGAGCATGGAGCGTAGTTTATTAATGCACCCAACATTAGAACCTTGAGTAGCAGTTACAAATTCTACTTCTGGTCAGGAGAGGGTACCTGAGTGAAAAAGGACTAGTTTCTAGCATGCAGCACAGATGAAAAGTCACTAGTTCAGAAAGCTGTCTTTCAGTCATATAAGCCTCTAAGTCATCAACACATACTATCTTGCAAGATAGACGATTTTTTATTGAAAAATCTTCAACTTGGCAAACTAAAAATATGATGACCATGGTTGGAGCAAATGCGTTTTGTTTCCAAGAGGGCACAACGATGGTAAAATTACCTGCGGGTTCCATCATAAAATGTAAACATGCGATGTTTGCACCGTCAGCACCTCAGAGTCTGATCAGCTACCGAGATGTGGGTATTAATGGTTATCACCTCTCGACTCTCACTTTAAATAGAAAAGAAGTTTTGATTCTTGCAAAGAACCATAAAGTTGTTGAAAAAGCTTTCACTACAAAAAATGGTTTATACCAAATTGCGATTCGGCCTCCCATTATATTTAATTTTGCATCATCTATCTCAGAGAGTTGTATTTCTCTCTGACATGGACGATTGGGACATCCAAGATCCACATTATTTAGAAAGATCATTCCATGTATAATTGGACACAATTTAAAGCCTGCAGATATAGACTCTATGGAATTACGTCATGCATGTATGCAAGGTAAAATAATTACTCAACCTTCAATTTGAAAACTTCCACAAGAATTACCACCAATGCTTGAAAGATTGCATGGTGATATTTGTGGTCCTATTAATCCAATATCAGGACCATTTCGTTATTTTTTGGTCCTTATTGATGAATCAGGTAAACAAACATATGTTTCATTATTATCAACTCGAAACATGGTATTTGCCAATCTTATATCTATGCTTATTCGCTTTTGGGCACATTTTCCTGATTATCCTATAAAAATATTGCGTATGGATAATGCAAAAGAATTTGCATCAAGGTCTTTTGAAGACTATTGTACTGCAACAGGAATCGAATTGACATATTGTGTTCCATATGAACATGCTCAAAATGGACTTGCAGAGTCATTTATAAAGCATACACAACTCATTACGCGGCCACTCCTCCTTCATGCAAATCTACCTACATCTATGTGGGGTCATGCAGTTTTACATGCTGCAGCATTAATACGCCTCCGCCCTTCTTCTCTTAAAACTGTTTCATTACATGAACTCATTTCGGGTCGTGTTCCAAATGTATCTTACTTACGAGTATTTGGTTGTTGTGCTTGGATTCTAGTACTAGAATCTCAACGATGTACCATTGGAGCTCATCGACAAGAAGGCATATATATTAGTTTTGATTCACCAAGCATTATTCGTATTGTTGATCCATCAACTGGCACATTATTACGTGCACGTTTGCAAAATTGCCGTTTTGAAGAAACTGTATTCCCATCTCTTCAAGGAGGAGTATCCAATCAACAAAGAAATAAAGTACTCATATTTGAAGCACCAGAAACGTTTACAATGAATCCCGATCCTAGGACATCTTTGGCAGAAATTGAAGTTGCTAAGATTTTGCATTTAAAACGGATCATGGATGAAACACCTGATAGCTTCAATGATGCAACTAGAATTACAAGAGTTCCTATTAATGAGGCTCAGAATGCACCTGCTCAGATTGCAGTTCCATTGACTACAATACCTCAAGTTATAACAACAACAACTAAAAGAACTCGTGGACCAGATAAGCAACCATGTAAGAAGAAAGCTATAAAATTAACTAATCCTGGTATTATTTCTCAAGAAATTTCCACTCATCTTGCAGGACTATCAATTCATGATGATATATCCATGCATAATGTACTTTCAATTCATATGAAAAACAATCTTGGAACTGGAAGGAATAAGAACAAGTTGAGTAAAGAATTATCTATTCTATATTGTACTACAAATGATATTTGGCACAGACCATCTATTACGGTAGATGAATCATTTGCATATATGATTATAGAAGCCCTTTCTTGCGAGGAAGACTATCATGAACCTCAAACCATCGAAGAGGCGATGCGTCGCTCTGATTGGTCAAAATAGAAAACTGCTATTGAGGAAGAGTATGCCTCTTTGCGTAAGAGGAAAGTCTTTGGTCCAATTGTAGACACTCTTACATCTCGCCCTGTGGGATATAAAATGGTATTAATACGCAAGCAAGATGCTCAAGGCCAAATAACCCGCTATAAAGCTCGTCTTGTTGCTCAAGGATTTTTTCAACGATTTGGCATTGATTATGAATCCACATATTCTCCAGTCATGGATTCAATTACATTTCGATATATTATTGGAATGACAATTCATGCCACGCTTGAGATGCATCTGATGGATGTAGTTACTGCATATCTATATAGTTCTCTTGATGCAAATATTTATATGAAAGTTCCACCTAGCTTAAAAACAGGAACTCCAAATCAATCCGCTCCAGGAAAATATCATGGTATTAAATTATGTAAGGCCTTGTATGCTTTAAAAAAATCCGGACGAATGTGGTATCAATGTCTTCGAGATTATTTAATTAACAATAATTTTATAAGTGATCCACTAATCCCTTGTTTGTTTATGAAACGAGATAAAACTGGTTTTGTAATCATCACTGTATATGTTGATGATCTTAACCTACTGGGTACTACATCTGCATGTGTTATAGCTACAAACCTACTTATACTTGAATTTGAGATGAAAATGCTAGGAAAAACAACTTTCTGCATTGGTCTTCAGATTATGCATCTTACAGATGGTAGAATTTTTCTCTACCAACTAACATATATTAGACGAATTTTGCAAAGATTTAATATGAATGATGATTATTCATTGTCCACACCAATGGTTGGACGTGGTCGTGATGGTCATGATCCATACCATCCATGCGAGGAGGAGGAGGATCAATAGATTTTTGTGTGTGTGAAGCTCTCTCTCCTTAGAAACCCTTGTGTGTGTATGACTTACTACTACTCGTGTGTGTGTATGACTTACTACTACTAGTGTGTGTGTATGACTTACTACTACTCGTGTGTGTGTATGACTTACTACTACTAGTGTGTGTGTATGACTTACTATTACTCTTGTGTCTTTCTAAACATTCTCAACAGACTTCGAGGCAAAGCTTGGGGGAGTCACGATTCCAGCGGTAAATGACATGAGTGTTCACTGATAACTCCAGTGTAAGAAAGGGCAAGTTGAGAAGGCCAACACCGTGAAGACTCGTTGTTTTAAACTGCTGCAACCTCAAAACAATTAGACTGGCGGCAAGTTGGGCGCCGAACATAATGTGTAAATGTGCAAGTCCAAGTGTGGAGAGAACCAGCGTCACTGAGCTCAGAATCGTCGTCAGGGTCGAAAGCTACACTAATGGCTGATGGTATCTTTACTTTGCAGCCAACGAAATCGATTCCATTTACGCAGAAGTTTCCCTTCATCCATCCATATTGATGCTAGCTTTGAACTGTCGTCTTCAATTTACGACTACACTCATGAAAATTCCGAATAGAGATGCTTTCACGTGAACGTGAACGGGATTGCAATTCTTAGCTCCACGGCGTCAATATTCACGAATTTTTCAAACTATTCTTTAATTACAACGAAAGTCAAGATCATCCTCAACTCTATAGATTATATGTAGAATGTTTAAGGTGAACATTACTACACTTAATGTGCAATTTTCTTTAGTGCATTGAATCACCAGATCCTCAATCCAGTTGAATCGAAACCTGACATCGACTTTACGTGTCTGCTTATGGATGCACTGAGCATTATATACTGTTTTCCAGTTGCATCATGGTAGATTACAATATAAGTTAAAAATGAAGCGAGACTTCTATAACACTCTCCATGCCGCTGGGATGGTTAAATTACTTCTTGCTGGTGAAAATTCGTCTAAACAGTGACTTCATTGTTATACTGTTTCCTGGCGTTGCAATCAAGGTACATCCGGGATTCGTACATAGAATTCGCTTCAGAGTTTGTAATATATTAAATGCTGCTTTACCTTGCATAACAATCGCACACAAGAATGTCTTAAGACGTCAATTGTGTTATAAAATTCAAGCACTTCTCCCCATTGTTCACGAGAGAATCATCATGAATGACAAGAATCTTTGATCAAGTCACTCCTGTCGATTATGACGAAACGAGCACATCGCTAACTATCCCTTCAACTGATCAAATGCGGCATTTCTTGGTATAATACGCCAAGACTTTTCTGAACAATACTTACTCCAATTCCTCTAACATATTCCAAGACAGTAAACTAAATTCAGAGCTCCTTGTACATGTAACTGTTCTCAACAGCGCCCTTTCCAACTGGATCCAACATATCTGTCTCTACAACAAGCTCCTACTGCAAAAATCCACTCGCATTCCCCCTAAAAATAAATTAAAACAAATGAAAATTAAAATTAAAATAATAATAATAATAATAATAAAAACTCCTAAGATGGATATGACATCAAACCTCCAAAGACGGAATTCCGGATCGGCTGTGGCCAAGTGAAGGGGCCGCATTAACGTAAAATTGTTATTAGGCAGTACGTATTCATTCGGTACCAATACAAATCCGAGTGAAATAATAATAAAAATACTTGTGGAACCTGACCATGAAGCGAGCGGTCGCGATTCCGCTCGAGACGCCATTCTGGCGCTGAATCTTGTCAGCCCTGCCTGCGTCTGCAAGTTCATGTGCCTCTCGCCATCACCACCAACAAAAGGCCTGCCCGGGACTGCTGGTTTCATTATAAGAGCCTGCGGCCTACCAGCCGAGGTCATGCTGCAGCTGTCATCCAACATACCCCTTCTGTTCATCCATTTATTGTGGATGAATGTCCATTTATTCATCCATTTCTCATGTATGTATCCATCCTGGTCTTTGTCATGCCTCGACCATGACCCACCGACATTGCAGGTGGGGGTTATTTTTTCCCTTTGCATTGCATCTTTGTACCTTTCCTTGCCATTAGGGTTTAGGGTTTAGGGTCCTTAGCACACCATGTCCTCAACGTACTTCTTGCCTTCCCTTTGAAAAAAGACATGGAGAAGCTTAGGGGTTTCATCATAGAGGAAAAGGCAATGTTACTTTTGGAAAGGAAGAAGAAAAAGAATAATAATAATAATAATAATCAAGAGTGTGTGGGCCAAGTGTCCATTTCCTTCAGAGATAAAATATGAGATATTTTTGAAGTGCTTGAAACTGGAGTTGCATGATATGAAACATCAATGTGCATACGCAATCCATGCACATTAGTCATATATATATATATATATATATATGAAAATTTGCTACTGAAAATATTATAAAAAAGTACAAAAAACTTTGACAGTGCTTTTATATCTTCATCCACTCAAGGTCGAGGCTATTTAATTTCCATTATTGTTCGAAGCTTTTATAGAAAAACTCTTTCTGTTTTTTATGATATTTTATTAGTTTTCAAACAGAAAAAATAAATAAATAAAACATAGTTATTTTTTCCTCTTTGAAATATGGGTTTAGAGAGTTTGTTACCAATTATCACCAAAATAAATATATAAATGTTGAAGAAAAAATAATTACTCTTTACAAGGCTTTATTTTGAGTTACCGCCATTTAATAAGATTTTTCCTTCTCACTCTCTCTCAAGCTGTTTACACACTTGAAATGAATCCAAGGTTTAACATTGGATATATATTTTATCATTATTACTGTTATTTTTATTTTTAAATTGATTAGAATTCGAATCTGGAGTAGCTAATATTTATTATTTTTAAATAAGTAAAAACTCATAAACTTTTTTTTAATTTTAAAGAGGAATATCAAAATGAAGCATATAGTTATTCCATTTTATTTTAGAAAAGCAGTGGAAAAGTTCATTAAGCATGGGCTTGCATTCTTAGGCAAGGAAAATGTGCGTAAATATTTGTTCTGCCCAAGAACTTCATAGGACTTTATGTATGTGTTTATCCCACAATCTCCATATTTTTAACAGTATTATATGCTTCTGAAATTTATAAGTTTTTTGAAATAAAAATTGTATTTTAAAATAGTTAAGAAATATAAACATTAACAAAAATACTCCATCCACCCATGTAAAGAAGAAAGTTTTAAAAACAATATTGGTGGTTGGCTTATTGTTATGTTGAAAGTTGTTTGTTGGGAAATTAATCATGGTAAATAAAGAAAAATAAAAATAAAAAGATAAGTGGAATAGATAAATAAAATGGACCATTCTATTTTCAATTTTATTTTCGTGTGTAAATTATTGACGTTGTGAAATGGTACATTTTTATGTTGCATAGTTGCAGCAAAAACACATCATTAAATTGGTCTCACATAATACTTAATTTAAGCCCCTCTTTTCTTGAAAGAATGTATGTTAATTTAAAATGTATATATATATATATATATATATATGTTAGGCATAAGACAGCATTAAAAAATTCTCTAAGAAAAACTGACTACATGTTGCATCACGTATCAAGTAAAGTGTGTATACAAGTAACATCCTACTTGATAAAAACAATGAAAATATGTTACACACATGAAGCCACTCTATATGTTGTGTTCTACATGGCAAATGATAACAATGCATTTATATGTACATTTTCTTAGAGAATGGAAGTGTTTATATACTTATAATATAATCTCTTATTTTTTTATTTTTTTGTCGTGGGTTTTTTTCTGAAACTTCATCTAAAGTAGGCCGAGGTCTCTCAGGAATAATTAACTCCCTTATGCAAACCCACATGCATTAGTCCTGCTCTTTTGGTGATCCTGACTTCCCCCTCCCGGATTTCTTTCGCCATGTGAGCACCATGTGGACACCCTAAAACCGACCCTACGATTGAATGGACTCCTCCACCTCAGCACTCATAAATGCATCTTTCCACGTGGAGGAGTCGCGGGAAGGGGCACCAATGAATGAGTGAGCATTAAAGACCGACTGGGCAGGTCGGTAATAGGCCCCTCCCCCAAGTCATCGATTAGCGCCAAACTCTGCCAGGTTAGTTGGAGAAGGGACAGTTATAGGCAAGGGAATTAAATGGCCGAAACCCGCAGGGGTCCAACACCGTGGCGTAATTGGCTGTCTGTAGCGCGCACGTGAGGTAGTAGGAAATCTAGGAGGTCGCAAACTGGCAGGTACTGTGTACTATTTGGTCGACCTGGTTATTGATGGAACTAGGTCCACTTTTGGCGCTGCAGTTAGCGGGGCCGCTATTTTAGCGCCCCTCTGCTGACTCTAGCGGGCGTAGCAACATATTGCCATTAATTAGCCTAAATTAGTGTAGGATTGGAATTGGACAGGATGGCTCCAATCCACAAGGTCAATTTCACCTCGCTGACCCAAATAATCACCACTAAAGGGGGCCCTTGGTGTTCTTTAAACGTGGGTGAGGAACAAATTTCGGATAATTAATTGAGATGTTTTCCATGTAAATTTAATAATATGGTCGTTTTCATATTCATATTCGTGTAATCTTATTTTTGAATATTAGAGATGGAAGTAATGTGTTATAATAATTGCGATGAATTTTCATAGATGTCAATAGATGTTTAACACACCCTGTTTGAAGGAGTGCTGTTTTTTTTTAGACACAAACGGAAAAAATTGTTCACTGTTTTTAAGACTAGGATTTAGAAGTTTTAAGTAAGAAATTCTGGGGTAAAATTTTCCTGTAATCCAGATCTCCAGGACTCCTCTCCAGATTTCTGGTTTACCAGCTTCAACAACACATGGGGAAACAATAGGATTCTATGTTCTGGAAATGGCCACACAATGTACTGGCTACCACGTCATCTCCGTAATTTTCCTCGTACTAGTAAGTCCCTCCAAAGGGATTATTATACTTCAATTTCGAGTCACTAGTCCAGGTCCAGTCAGACACGGGTTTTTGAACTCTATTATTGTCTGGCCCTGTAATACTTACTCCCTGCAATGAATTTTGTTTCATTTGTGTAATAAATAAATTAATTAATAAATAATCATCTTATCTAATTTGTGTTTATTAGAGAGACTTCTTTGTCAAATTTGTATACTATGAAGATGTTTGCACTTTGGACTTGCAAGTCTTTTCATTCCAATAATTTTGTAGAAACGTTATTTAGATAAAGCTAAGAATCAAAACAAAAATTGGTAGATAGTATCATTGCATAGAATGAAGATTAGTAGTTATCTTCATTTGAGTTTAAAGAATTTGATTTGAATATAATTTTTAATCAAATCTTCAAATTTTAAAAAATTATTATATATATCTATTAGCATGTTTATTGATTTCTTAAATAATATATTTAATTATTTTTGAGATGGTAGCAAAATATAAATGTTTGTATGTGACATTTTGGCCATGTGGATTAAGAGATTTCACTTCTGATTGAAGATAGTGTAGGTCTTCTGTTATCATATATTATGTAATGTTTTGTTTTTTAGACATGACATAGAATGTTTAATAAATATTTTCATCTCAGTAATATAATGAATTGGTGAATTTCAAATTATTATATACAAAAACTAAAAAATATACCACAAACCAAAACTACAAGACTTGTATATGTGCAATTTGTATATTTTATTGTTATTATTAAATTTCACAACTACAATAACTTATTTTTTGTTATATATATGTATTTGACATAAACACATTTTTTATATGTTGTTTTCTTTAATTTTAATATTTTATCTAATTAAATTCTACATAATTATCCATCAATTTTTCTCAACCCTAAATAAAAATATACACACACACAAGGCATTTTCATACCAAAAAATTATAATATACATAAACAACTCTCGTGCCTTAATTGCCTATGCAATTGCTATGAACTAATGCATATTCACACCAACAAATGCTATTGCACACACAAGCATTCGTGCTACTAAGAATGATATTGCACACCACTATTGCATGCTACCAAGTATTGTAATGAATCACAACACAAACAATACAACCAGTAATCACACAATCCATTTTATTTTTATTTTTATTTTTAAAAATGTACAAAAATTCACAACATTAAACGGCAGATGGAAATAGATTTCAAATATATGTGAATATATTTATACATACATATGTAAATAGTTATATGTCATTAAAATCTACATTTTAAAACCAACTTATCAAAAATATTGAACAAAAAATGACAATAATGCAGTCGCATGTGCATGCGAGTTTCATTCTTCTTCTTCGAATGAATGTCGCCGCCAACTGATCGTCGTTCCCGCCATCGCAAGTGTTGGCTTCGACGATGGGAGCACTATATCCCTGAACCTAAAGGGGTTGTGTCTTTCAAGAAAAAGCGAACTCCATTCAGTTCAGCCACCGCCGAAACATAAACAGGCAGGTCACGCAATGTGACACAACTAGGGAAGGTTGCGAAACTAAACTGCGGACAGGACAAAGCTAATCCGAGACGTCGAGGTTTGCGGGGAGTGTTAGGTCAAGTCGACCCCCATAGAACCAACGAATCTGCATGGAGAGTAATGCATCGTCCCGAATTGTGCAGAATTCTTGTTGGCGGCAACTGCGAGAATGCCAAAATCTTCTTCGAATCTCGTTCGTCTCCACTACAACCCTTTCCGCAACAATACCTGATCAATTCTTGGCTTTATGTCCATCTCTTTCACGAAAGCGGCTTTTTGCAAACAAGTCCACTCACTCTTCGGCTGCGAGGAATAAAGCGCAACCCTAGTGCACAAAGCATGAGAAAACATACGGCGTGGAATGGGGCCGA